TATATACTTATGTAATATATATATATATATATATATATATATATGAATACCGAATAGCTTCAATTAAAATCCGTAATCATAACACCTCCACGTTTTTATATTGTCACTTTTATTTTAGATCTTGCGATACCTACTGCGTTAGATATGTACATAAGTTTATTGACTATTATTTAGATATATTCAAATACCATGCGACGTATAGCTTCATTTTTTGTGGGATCATTATTGGTATTCAACTACGTACTCATATATGCGATAGATAATAATATATCATGATCATTATGCGCAATGCCTCACTAATCATAATATGGTTGCATCGAATTTATAGGTACATTAATGGTAAAATAGATATGTATAATGTAAAATATACACATTCATAAAATATTAAATGACTACGTATAACTGTATAACTATATTTTTATATTTCTTTTAACACATATAAACATAAAATAAATAAAAACGCTAATCTTCGTTTAAAAATTCCATCTAAAGTTTAAATTAAAATAATAAAATCCATATAAAAAATAAATGTATATATACTTTTTAGATTTTTAAGTTTCAGCACGTTTGAAAAACATTGTATTACATTTTTAAACCTTAACTGTAAAAATTATATATTTTATTAATTTTTAACTTCAAATGATTGTTTTAATAACCTAGAGGAACTTATAATTAAATTATAAAGCTTTTGACTTAGAAAAAATGTTATATCAAAATCCAAATTAAAAACACTGTTTTAATTTCAAATCTATTAAATAGCTTAAAAAGAATCAAAGTATTTTTAAAATTTTATCATGAATAGAATATTTTAATTTAAACATTTGAAGACAATTTTAAGTATATATTATTATTCAAATACTGTATAGATATAACTATATATTTTAGATTCTAAGTGGAGCAATGAGTGAGAGTAGATCCTAAGTATATTCATTTTACAACAATGATGCATTTTTTATGTGTAGGTACCTATATGTACTATATGTGTCACAATAATAAGAAGACGAAAAATGCTTCAATTTTCAACCTTAAAGGTGGTTTTAGATAGCAAATTCAATTTAGTTTGCACTTTCAAATGATCAAAAATAAAAATTCCCAAACCATTCAAGAAAAATAAAAATAAAATTAAGGAAAATCAGGAATTTTTACAAAAAATACAGTTCCTAACAAAATCGATTTTGTTTTTTTGGTGTAATTCGAAAACCAATAATCTAGATTCTATATAACTTGAAATTTTAACCACATTTTTATAAAATAATTTTAAATACGTAATAAAATTTTCAAAACATTTTGACTCTTATTAAGCTATTTAAAAACATTTAAAAATTTCCTTTTTTTTTACGTGCCGATAAAAATTATCCACAAGGTAAAATTATTTAAAAATTTAACACAAGTTCCCAAATAATAAGTTATCTTTATATAGATACTATGTATATGAAAATATAGAAATTAGGCAACATTTATTTTTTTAAACATTTGAAGTTAAAATTTTAACAAATTTTGTCAAAATCACGAAAACTTACAAATTGTTTTGTAATTAAAAATTTTTAAAAGTGCAATATTTTTACTACTAAGAAAATTTAATTCAAAGTTTATCATAAATATTTTATACTGAAATCAAAAACTCTAAAGAATATAATAGTATTTACATATTTGTATTTTTATACAGATAATTTAACATAAAAATTTCAAATTTGAATGAAATTACATATTATTTAAACTAATGATATTCAATATTTTGTTATAGTTTAAAAACATTATTTGTGGGGATATAAAACTTTTATGTATATTATTATTTAATATTTATTATACTTTATACGCACAAATACACAATGTACCTACTTACTACCTACATATTTCCAAATGTAATGTTTCTGCGAAAAATAATTCAACCTACTGTTTATAAAATAAATTGCCTAATACAAAAAAAAACATAAGTATCACGTACATAGAGTATTGTATATATTAATTTTCTTCACTCAAAAAAAAGTAATCTATTGGCGTCAGTGCGTCACTGTCTATAACAATAACCATAACGTGCAGAATATTAAATTAAATTGATTTTTTTTTTTTGTGAAGCGAATATGCATAAAACGTTATAAATATCTAGTTATGAATCATGTTTTATAGTCTACGTATAAATATAAATGTATAATAGTTCAAACTTTTGGAAATTCTGGGTAATACACGTATATATTTTGTAAACTCGTCGCGTGATGTCACCATTCTAATTATTCATTTATTTTTTTTTTCTTTACAGTCAAAATATCGCTACAAATAACGAATTAAAATTATGTAAAATAATAAATTCACTTTTTATTTATAAAAATATATGGACAGTAGTCAGTATTTAGTGTTTCAACCGACGGTTAGTCGACAAATTTTATCATGAAAATTATCGTGAGTCATTGTAAATGAATTATTGATATTAAATATTAATAATATGTTATTATCAAAATCTATATATAGGCAATATATGGTAGGCAGACGAACAGATCAACAATAGTAATTTACGTATTTTTCATATAAAATATATGCACATAAAGTGACGAATAACGGTTTACGACGCACTTTACATAAACTGTCTATGTGGAAGAACTCAGAGATAAAATATATTTTATATTGCATTCTCAACAAATAAAAGCAGAAATTTCATCATTTTAATATAATATTTACTTGTCTGCGTACTTCTTTAAATTATTTATTGACCGTCTTTTGAATAATAATTGTTTGCATTCAGTTTTCATTTAAAAATATTTAAATGACATACGAAGTTGGAATACTTCGCTAAAATAATAATGCACCATCTATATTTACTATAAATTATTATACCATATTTCACATATTTGTATTTGTATAACATACATAATAGTATATATATATAAACATAATATGGGGTAGGTATTAGTTACTTACTACTCGGCACTCGCATAAATGAAATGAAATGTCATGTAATGGTTATCCTAAACTATTAAATATTGTTATTCGTTAATCATCTGTCGATTATAAAATATTAATTGTATCACCTATATATATTTCATATTTGTAATTAACTAATAAACAATATATTACTATATGTATGTGTGTGTGTGTGTATTGTATATATCGTATGGTTATATATATACAAAAGTTATTAATTTATATTGTATTAGTCTATCAAACATTTTTTTTTTATACACCTATAGACTATAGTATTTGTAAGAACACTCTCAAAATTAATTTAAAAAAAATGATTAACAAAATGCACCCTTTTCAATATTTTCAAAATGATTTCACCTTATTTAGTGCTAGGCTATGTCCCGTGGGAAGGTACTCTATATTTTATTATTTAATTATAATAATAAATGTATATTAGCCATTATTTTTAGCTAATAAGTATAAAATAATACATTATTAATTATTTTTGATTAATATAGTTAATTTAAGTAAAGTTACTAGGTAATTAGGAAATTCAGTCTTTTTATATATTCATGGTAATAAATATGCGGTATAAAATATTATAAATATAGACTCGTAGAAATGTAAATCGTAATACGTAGATTGTCACTCAAATAAACAACTTTTCATTATGTCATCGTGAGTTTTTTCAGTTTGTTTATATATTTTCATTTCATATTGAAAATGTATACTTTATTGATAAGTAATAACAATTATTTATGTTTAAAACTGATTTTCATCTTGTAAATATTATTATGATAAAAATATCTGTAATATCGTAGGAAATAACATCAGCTGTTGAAGTCTGCAAATTCATCATAAAAAAACTGGAAAGAAATGGATAAAATAAATACGTATACTATTTCACAGTTAATTCGTCCATGTTTCATTGTAGATAAAGAGAATGAAAAAAATATAAAATAATAATAATAATAAGAAGAAGAAGAAGAAAAAATAAATATTTTAATATAAATTCCCAGTTGTCGTTTTTCTGTTTGTATATCCAATCGATACACAAAAATACGAACAATAAATAATTAACATCAATATCTATAGTAATTAAAAAATACTTTATAAAAGTATTAGTATTGATACAAATACTTAAAAATATATTTATAGATACTTACAAGTATTTAAATATTTTTAAATGAAATTTAAATGTACGCAATTATTTATTTATATTTTTTTATAATGTTAATATTTCCTATTTAATAATTTTAAATAAATAAAAAAATAAACAATTGCCTATAGTAAATAAATTAGTCAAATAATTAATCAAGATTAAAAATAATTTATGTCAAAATGTATAGAAGCATATTTATTTAAAATTTAAAATAACTTATAATGAGTTATTAAACTTGAATATATGTATATTTATTTCTAGCTTAAAGTTTTTAAATTTTAGTAACTTGTCTTATCCGATTTATATCATAGTTTTCTATACTTCCACATTTTATAAAGTACAGATCAGCATAAGGAATTTTAACCAACTGTCAATCAAAACTGATGACCATCGTGATTATTTAAAAAAGTTAAAACATTTTTTTTTTCAACAAATTACATCTAAAATGAATTAAAATGTTCATATTTGTATTACAAAGAGTGGGTTAGGACACGCTTACTGTATTAAACACAATAATCGATTTAAATTTCAAACGTCAAAGGATCAAACCTCGAAACTCATTGAATCGTTATTTACCTATAGTTATTTTTTAAAAGGATATATATTATTATTATAATAATTTATTTGGCAGTTCCGCAGCGATATTTTATATCGATTCGCGCAACGACTGCAACACTATTGTACAACGCAAAATCGTAAAACAAAGTGTCATTTAATGTTGTCGTAAGTGTGCATTATAATTTATAATAATATATTTATGGCCGCAGCCCGCAACCTGTGGCGTTACGCGTCTCTCCGTACTTCCGCAGCCGTCGGCGGCACGATTATTATACCTACATATATGTATTCTTATTTTTTTATCGTCGCCTCCAAGCGGCTTTTCGCAATCGCAATCCGCGGCCGCGGCCTTTTGCACGCGATCGTTTTCGCCGGCCGGTCACGATCAACGGCGCATCAAATAGTTCTTGATGAAACCTTGCAAAGGCGTGGGTGGCAACAGACGTCTCTCGCCGCCCGTCACGCTGACGAAATCGAGCCGGGTGATCCTGCGCAGCGCGGTCAAGACCGCGGTACGGTAACCGCGGTGCTCGGCCACCGGGTTGTTCTGCAGCGTCAGAGACCTGAGCCGCGGCAGCCGGTCGATCCGGGCCACGACGCACAGGCTGGCCAACCGGTTGTGGTGCAGGTACAGCGTGCTCAGGTTCGGGAACCCGAGCAGCGCGTCCGACACGTCGGTCAGCCGGTTGTGAGACAGGTCCAGCCAGCAGAGGGCGTCCGGCTGCCGGAACAGCCTGTCGACCAGCTGCCGGATGTCGTCCAGGCCGCCGGTCAGCCGGTTGTGGCCCAGCAACAGCGACGCCGTCTTGTACCGGCCGTCGCGCCCGGCCGGCACGCCGAGCATCCGGTACGAGCTGACGAAGCCCGTGGAGAACACGCGCAGCGAGCTGGACTCCAGCGACTCCAGGTCTTCGAACGATAGGTCCAGCGGTTTGGCCCGTATGTACGAAAACGGCACTTTCGTCGACTTCATCGCTACGTCGGAGCTATATGTTTTGTACGAGTATAGGTACTGTAAACGTTATAATATATCGTTTCGCGTGTGAATTACATTTTTTTTTTTTTTTTTTTTTAATAAAAATTTGTTTAAAATAGTTAACCGTTCTCATATCAACGGTTCATCCTATATGGCATGTTATCGTAATAAACAAAATATTTTAAAATCCATGATAAATTTATATATATATATATATTATATGTGTATGTGTGTGTGTGTGTGTGTTTTATCGTTTAACGGTTGACCCTGCACTGCGTTGCCCGTGACAAATCGAATACGTAATATGTATATTTATATTTTAAGGAATCATATTTTTTAATAATTTTATGAAACGTTCTGTAACTAGAATATATACTTAGGTATAATATAATTAATTCAAAACATTCAATTTTTATGATATACATTTTTTTTCTGTAATCTTTAATTTTAATTTTTAGCCATTCTATGGAAACGATAATGTATTCTTTATTAATGTATGTGCAGGATTGTTTTTCTCTCAATTGAAATACTGTTTTCCTCCTCATAAAAAAAAAGATTACTTTCCATTTTCGTCTAGATTTTTTTGGATTTAAATTACATAATTTTCCGTCCAAATAATATCTAAATTAAAATAAATGATATATTTTATAGTCGGCACCAGTGTGGTAGAAGTGTTAATATGTACCTACCATAATATATAACAAGCGTAAGATACTACAGTCAATAACTACGTTGTATGTCGTAACTCTAATTAAGCCTAATTATGATTAGTATGATAAGTACACATGGGCATATATTTAGGTACATCAGTACATGCGATTTGACATATTATGTATCGGTTGACAGTTGAACAACATGACTAAAAAATGATGTTATTCAGGTTTTCGGTAACTACTTCTTATTCAAAACTATAATTATCGTTTCTATGGATCCATTGGATCCATATGTGACATAGCTATTGCTTATTAATTTATAATTTTCAAGTGGCGATGGCGTTGTATATCTTACACATGGCAATTATCTTTACCTTACAAATAATAATTAGTATAGTGTTCCTCTTTCTAAAACCTTGGAAACTCACAACTTGTATTTGATTGGGTTAGATAACGGTATATTTAAAATAGAAAACGTATTCATTTTAATAGATTTAAAATAGAATTGTCAACCTAATTCTCTCAACGAAAAGAATAATTATGTTTATTTTTTTCTTCAATTAAATATTCTTCAGATAACTCTAATAAAAATAAAATTATTCTTTTTAATATGTATATGAATGAGTACCTAAGCTGATAATACGAATAGGTAATACGATATAAATAACAATTTACATTATTTTAGGATTTTCTTTTCTTTTAATTATGCGTTTATTGAATAAATATTTAAGGTGTTTTATTTTTACTTATATTGATAGTTACAGTTTTCTGTAATGTTACATTTTCGTCTCAATGCAATGTTACCATGTTTAATTAGTTATTTAAATATCTATAAAATTCAAATTATTTTATAGTATACATATATAACAGATTATTTTGTTTAATAATTACGTACTGTCACAATTTAATTAAAATTAAATAAAAATATCTATAAACTTTTATATTTTAATAGAAAAAAACTAAAAATTATAAATAGCTCATAATTTATTATTCTAAATATTTTAAAAATTAAATTGTGTATAGAAATTAGTTGAACAATTTAAGTTTCTAGTCTTTTACGATTAATATTTTTCAAATTATGTATAAAAAATAAAAATTTCAAAAATCAATCGAGGAAATCGTAACTTTTTGTGTTTTTTTTATGCATTTATCTGCTAATGTTGTTGAAAGCCGTGTAATTATTAATGTCTTTTTTGACGCTCATGATACAACTTATTGTGTATTTATGTAATAAGAATTTTCTTATTTAATCGTATTTTAAAATTATTTTGGTAATACAATAATTACATTAAATGTTCCTACTCTTATGTATAAATAATGTGAAATATAAATAGGTATCTTAGCGATTTGGAGTTTTGCTAGCTGTTTACACAATTAAAAGAGGATTCGACTTATACTATGCGTTTTTAAAATCAATTTTTTTTTTATTTAAACATTTAATTTTTTAATAAAAATTATTAGTATTTTTTAATATTATGTTTATGTATACTCTATAAATAATGTATACATATTATATTATGATGTATAGATTGTATAGGGAACGAAAGTCACTATTTAATCTCGTGTAGCTAGAGTGTCAAGCCACTTATTATATTATAATATGTAAGTAGGCAAGTACTAGAGATAGAGAATAAAGAAACTTAATAACCTGCAAAAGCATTTTTACAATTAGTATAAAGTTTAATTTTCTATTATATCACTATTCCACTTTTAAATACTAAAATATTACTTTTATTTATTTCAGCTGTAGTTTTTTTTAATCATTTTATTCCATTCGTTTTTATAATTAAAAATTTAAGTTTATTAGTGCACTCGTTTAAAATGTTCTCTGAATCTTGCAGTACGTTTAAAACGTCTGCTCGTACTCATAAATGTGTTTTGATTCATAATATTACAATGAAAACCAGTCTTTGTAGACGGATAGAAAAAGCTTTTCGTCAGAGTTATCGTAGTAGGTATTATGTACGTATGTGTCTGTGGGTCTACGATAACGTTGGGTCAACTTTTTCTGTACATGCACTATTTCGCGGCCAATGTCTTTTAGGGCTTTAAAAAATATCGCCCCCCCTCTTAACCCCTCTAACACGCAAAACGGTGCTGCAGAGATCGTCGTGTAACATACCTCTTCACGATGTGAAATTATTATTATTATTATTATTACTGTTATACGTATTGGCAGGTACCTCGCCCGGGTAGGCACGAACGAATAAACACAAAATTCGTGGATAATAATATTATTCTCGGAGAAAGTCCGCGACGCCATCTAGCGGTCGTTTTGCGTTCAGATTGTTTATTAGCGGTCTCTTCGGCCGAGCGTCGCCGCCGTTCACCGCTCAAGCGAGCTCTTGGCGCCGCCCGACCGCTTGTCGCAACTCTCCGGCGGACCGAGTCGTCAGTCGTAGACGGCGTCCAGTCCATAGATGGTGTCGTCGGACGGGCATTTGCGGCGCGGCGTACGGCAGCGAGACGACGACGACAACAATAATAATAATAATATCTCCCGCGCGGATCGATAAAAGTTTTCGGTTTCTTTTCGTCGACGGCGTAAACGATATATTGTCTCCACACACCGCCGGCATTATAATCATCATCGCATCGTAACGAACACCTGAACACCCGTAGTTGCGATACGCTCATAATATTTAGAAATAGCGCAGAAGTGAGTTGAAAAGCTTTTTACAATATATTGTACCTCTTCCTTTTTTTTTTTTTTTTTATTATTGTTGTTATTATTCTTTTTATTGTTGTACGTGCGGTCGAAGTGGCGTAGTCAGAGTTCTTGAACGGGGAGGTTTAAGGGGTTTAGGTATATGTTAGAAAGGGTTAAGCAATGTGAAAACAGTTCGGCCCTCATGTAGTGATTTTCAATGAAAAAAAAAGGTATATATCAGAGATGGACAATTCAAAATTGTGGCGGGCCAGAACATAGAAAGCAAAAAAAAAAAGGTTATTCAAAATATTATGCATTTTAATTAGAATTATGATGTTTATAATGTAAAAATTAACCATAGTCTTCTTGTTTTGATCGCTAATTTATTGAATAATCAAAAATATTATAGGTGTAGGGGTTACAACACCCAAACCCCCCCCACCACGGCTACGTAACTGGTGCGACGTCTTAAATACGCTTTCGTCGTTATTCCCATCCGATTACGAGATAATGTCAAATACGACGACTAACGAGTGCGTTTTTATTTTATTTTTTTTCCCAATAATACGGATATTAGGTAGGCAGTGCGCCAAGTATGGTCAATGAATTCGGCGCCCCCGTGTCTTATGACTAAGACATGATTTTTGCACATCCCACGTCACCGATACGTGTTATATAAGTGCTGTGTACGACCACGTCTATCTTCAATAAAAAGTATATCGTAAATTATGATTTTGACTAGACAAATATTTTAAAGGTACTTTTAATCGACACTTAGAAATAGTCACTATATACTTATATTTATCACGATTTACAGTGGAGTTTAAATTCAATAAAATCAAAGTAAAACATATCAGGTTACCGATCTATGATGAGAAAAATTATTACGTAAATACATAATACGAGTATGTGTGATAGAAAAGTTAAATGTTTATTTTCAATTTTATTAAATAGAATATCGAGTACGTATACAGGGTTGTAGTTCGTAAGATACGATGTGCTTTTGTATGTTTTATAATAATACACGATGTGTTACAAATACGGAATAATATAATGTTTTTAGTAGGTATTAATTATTGATTCGATGATTTCTAAATAAACACAATTAACAAGTACATTTATTTTTAAAGTTATTCGTATTTAAAAAATAAATTATATGATGAAAAATTATTTATCTAATATCTAACACTTTATTTTTTTAATTGATGCTGTATATACTTTTAGAAAGTAGTTATTTTGGTTTAGAAAGTACTTACCACTGCAGTAGGCACCCATGTACAATTATTAGTGCGTGACACAATAAAGTCTTGGTAATTGATATGAAAATCTTGCAGGTGAAGGCCCAAGGGCACATTGTATTATTATATTTAATTTTTATTTATATATCTAACGTAATTAACGTTCTAAAATAAATGTTCTAGTTGAATATTTGATTGTAAAAAATATTGTTTAGGTACTTTTTAATATATGTATAATATGTAATTATACAAATGTAAAACATATATATTTTTAAATGGTATTTATAATATATAAATTATAAATAAAATTAATAAGAAGTAACTTGTATTTTAAGAAAGTTAAATATTGAAAATTGAAGATACCTATAATTATCTAATTCCTTTTACTCAGTTGAACTTTTTAATGTGTGTCTACTGTAAAATAATATATAATAAATTGACTCATAATTTATTTGCATTAATTGACCATATAATATATCTGAAACTGTAATATATACATTATCATAACATTGTATATTTATAGACTATAGACCAGTTGTATAGTAATTTTTGTTATAAGTAGACGAAAAAATAAAACAAAACAGTAAATCAATATCAGATTACAATCACTTTTGTTTTATTTTTGGCAAGCCAAAAAATGTGTTTTACGAAGAAATATGCGTGAATGCTTAGTGGGCTCTTCATTGCCCACAAATGACGTAATCTGCACTATTAATATTACGTTAAAGTTGTTAAACAATGTTGCATTTATTTTATCGTATATCTTGTTAAATCATCTACTAAATATTTTTAAATTGGTTTGATAGAAAAAATAAAATAGAGATATAGGAAATCTATATACTAAGCAAATATTGATACCTTATATTATATGTATTAATAATCATTGTATTCAGTAAGAGGTACCTGAATATTGTTTCAGACTTTCAGTGAATTGTAAATCCTTTTTTGTTTTCTTAACATTTTTCATTAATTAAAATTTATTTTACTTTCAATAAAATAAATTGTACATCTTAAAGTTACCTTCACAAATTATTAAATTTTTATTCAGTATTAAGTTTTAATTTCTGTGATCTTTGCCTAACTAAATTTTACATGGTTTTTTTGAATGATTTGTACATGCTATAAACGTTCGTTTTCATATTTGTATATATTTAATAATTAATTACTTATATGTTAGGCTGTGAATTTTTAAATAATTACATTACTTTAAGCATATTATAAAAAAAAAACATTACAATTACTTAACAAAAAGTTTGAATTAGATGCTAATAAATTCAAATTTTACACTTTAATTTTTTTTTTTTAAGCCATTTTTAGCTTTTTAAAATAAATTTTCATTTTTGTTGGTATTTTTGATAATTTCTATCAATTACAAATTTTTAAAAGCGCTTCATTAATTATTATATAATTTTCGTATTATAAATATATGCTAGATTTTTATACTCACTTAAATAATAAAATCTTTTATTTCAAATATTTTACACTTGAAGAGTATTATATGAGTGGCATATTCACACCCTTCAACCCTTAATTCCCACAAATAACACCCCTTATATTTCTCGCTAGATCGGTTTAGATATTCGATGTATTTTTTTTTACTGGATAACAAATATTTAAAAAAATCTGTTCTGTTATTATATATACATTAGAAGAAATGGGTGTAGTCATGGGGTAAATAATAATGAGGGGGATATAAATGTCAAAATATGACTGGTGACTGCAGGGTAGTAAATGCCCTTGTCGCACTTACAATAAGTATATTTATGAATAGACCAGTTGTTGTTGAGGCTTTTTTATTTAGAACTTTACACTCAAAGGGCACAATATCGATTTATGTAAACCCAATTTAAGTGTTACGGATTAGTTCCTAGGCCGATGATAGGCATATAAAAAATTAGATTTTGTCATTTTTTTAAATATTAAATTTATCGTGATTAACATAAGCACCCAATGAAGATATTACTATAACTTTTTTAAAATTAATTTTAATAAAATAATCATATTTTTTTAAGAAATATTTTTTACCATAATTATTAGTTAAATTATAATTTTATTTATACTTTTTATTAGTCTATTATGTTAGAGTTACAGATAAAAAAAAAAAAAAACAGAGTTGTAATAATTTAATTTAATTTTTAGTTATTCTACTTTGCTAAGCTTCCATATTTATACATAGTGCAAATGCATATAATTTACAAAAATTAAAATTGATTTCTATTATTTGTTAGTATGTATTGCAATTTGCAATTTACATCACACTTATCAATAAGTAATACAGGTATAACTACTATTAATAATAATAATCAAGATTATTTACTTAATAGAGAGGTTCATCAACTTTATAGGAATCGAGAAGAATAATTTTATAAAACTTGAGTACATTAAAAAAATCTAACATTACCAATATAAAATGAAAATAAGTAAAATATTAAAATATTATCTAACGTAGTTTAGGTAGGTGGTATATAGTACTTTATGAAATCAAATGTCAATAGTAGCATTAAGTACCTATATCTACTTTTACAGTTTTACATTCGAAAACCATCTCAGATATTTACACAATGACATAACTTTTTACTGAAAAACAATTGTATAAGTACATTGTTTAACCCAAGGACCAATCCGTATTAATCTACCCAAAAAAAATTAAGTCATTAAAATAACTACTGTGTTCAATTATGAATATATTTAATTCACATTTTATCGTTTCATACAGTTAGATATTTTATTCATCACAAAACAACATCGAGTGATGACTATCTATATAATAGTATTAGGTTTTAAGCACCTATTCTTATCTATAAGTGTGAAAATATATATTTATTGAGTAGGTACCGCCCGATACCTGTATTTATTATGATTTTTAATATTGCTAAAGTAAATCATACAAAATTATACAAGAAATTATTACGGCGTATTTTCATTTTCTGTACTATACTTTTGTTATCTTAACTTAATTTTATGTAAGCACTTTCTTCCTTCAACGAATTTAACATAGGCTTTGCTTAAAAAAGATAGACTCATTTCCAATAAAATATTATATACTAAAAATGTTTTTTGTGATTTGAAAAAAAAATAAGTTCAAAATAATATCAACTTAATACAAATATATATATATATATAATATGTAATACTATTATTGTTACAGGAAAAATTATAAGGGGTTAGTACCATACCGTGTAAAAGAGGATATTTCAAGTTATTATCAATAATCGTATTCTTCATTTAACCTTCAGATTTTTTTTTATAAAATGTAAGTATATCATGAATATTAAATATCTTTATTCGAATAAAAATGTATTAATATTACATTACTATTTTTTTTCAGTATTTCTACCATGCAAGAACCTCCTCAAACTGATTGGCTTATGATCATCGCAATATGTTTCATAACTAGTTGTGTATTAATTGGAATACTCTGTGTTGTTTGTTGTTTTTGGTCTAAATGCTTACTATTCAACTGTTGTCGACCAAAATATAACAATACTTTAATAATATCCTATGGTAAATAAATATACTTGATAATATTCGTATCTCAATTTTTTTCTTACTTCTTAAAGTATTAATAAGTTGTATTTGAGGGATTATCTTGAAATATTTTTTAATTTGAGTTTATTTTTATTCCTCTTTGAAATTTGAGTTTTGCAATATTTTAAAATATAAATAAATATATTCTTAGTTAGAATATATTATTTTAAGAGTAGATTATGATGAATATTTCTATTATTTAGGTGAAAAATAACAATAATAATAATAATAATAATAATAATAGGTACGTGTTATGTCGTAAATCGAGGTCAAAATTAAACAATTATACTGATTTTTAATTCAAGCTATTTATTATACAGGGACTTACTGTAGAATTCAATATTTAAAGTTATATGTTTTTTAATATTTATTATTTAAATGAATTAGTCTAGTCTAAAATCTATTTTCACTAACCTGAATTAATCTTGATTGATGTATTATCATGTACATTTTTACTTATATTTAACGCGACCAGATTTTTTAATATTAGGAGGAATAATTGTACTGCTTTTAAATATCAAAACAGCTACTAATAAAAATAATCTTTTTAACATTATACTGCAAATACCTGCGGTTCTATATCTAAGGCTTATAATACATGCCAATAAAAATAATTCATCATAATTCATATGCCATCAATAGAATACCCACTTCTATGGCAATTTGTTTTATAGTTTGTTTTTTTTTTTTTTTTTATTTGATATGAATTGTTACAAATATTTTTATCATATAAAAATAAAAAGTTTTTTTTTTTAATCTGATTATATTACTCCACAAAAAGAGTGTCCGCTGTATGTTTCAAAATGTATAATTTTAATAATAATAAATTTAAAGAATACAAAATATCACTAAAAAACATCCTCGTAAAATAAAAAATTTACAGTAATAAAGATAGCTGCACACAATAATAAAAAATATATAAGAATAAAATGTATTTATTGTCTTCTTTTTAATCTTAAGAAATTCACTTAAAATTTATTACATTCGGCGTTTACATTGTTTGCTCAAAAAAAATTTGTGATTGATTCATAACTTCTTTATACTCTTAATTAAATAACAAAACTTTTGCCAAAATATAGAGATTGTAACTGTACGAGTGCCGTGCAATAAATGATGTTCTGAACGCCTGAGTTCATACTTTTACGAAGTATCAAAATATAATTATTGAAAATCATAAATTAGATAATATAGCCATAAAGATATTGTGTAAACTAAAGAAAATAAATTAAATCATATCTATTAAAGATAATCATAAGCCCTTGTCAAAATCAGCCAGTCGCAGACAACAGCCAGTATAATGCGTTTATCGGTAGACATGCATACTATTTTATGACTGTTTTATTGCCTTTGAATAAGACTTATAATGATTGAGTCTTAGTTAAAAAATTATTTTCTTATTTAGTTCGAGCAAGCTATTGAACAAGTTTTTATTTACCAATCCTAAACTTTTTTTGATACATTCATTTATCATTAACTTAATATATAATAATTGTTTATAGATAAGCCGGAAGAAGCATTGAATTTACCACCAGAAGACACAAATAACAGTACTTGTTACTCGCCCGTCCGAATGAAAAAAATAAAAACATTCGATTATTAAATTTTTTGAATATTAAGGTAAATAATATAGTTTTTATTCTAGTATTCTAAATAGTTTGTTGCTTTAGTATAATACCTACGTATACCTATCTATAATTTAAATGTTGTGATAACTTATTACCCGATTTATTGTATAATACCTAATAAATTATTAGATATTATTAGTGATCATAAATTTTATACATTTTTTTTTTTTAAATTTACATTTACAGCAGCAAGATAAATGCTTGCGTTATTTACTTGTGACTGCAAATAATTTATCAAAATGCAGCGAATGTTCCTGATCTCAGTATTACCCACATAAACAAATAATAATAAAAAAAGTGAGTTATTTTTTAAAAATATAGATACATTTTTACCCAAACTTTTTGATATAAAAATTTATAATATTCTAAAAGTAAATAATGTACTGATGAGTTAACCATAATAAGACTAATGTGTAGTTTTTATAAAATTCGATAGTTTGAGCATTGGATGTGTTAAATGTTATTACACCGGCTCTGTTCTCCTATTATTCAAGCTAAGGGTTCATTTTAAATTCTCATCGAGGTTGTTTTTAGAATTATTCTTTTCTATTTTTTGTCCTTATTATGTTCCACGAATTATTTTTGGAAGGTCGTATCTATTCAATTCCTTTATAAATACCTACTTTCCTTTGTAGTATCTTTTGTTTAATTATTTTTCGTTACCAATTGAATAGTATTGTGTTATTATTAATAATAATAATAATAATAATTATTATTATTATTATAATTGTACTGTTTGATTTTTATGTTTAAAAAAGATTTGCTGTATCCTGTGATGTAACTATACCTAATTAATGAGCTCTTACTGCAGTATTTCTGCATAAATTAATTATAGTATAATACCATTGTATAAATATATATACATATGTAATACTATAATACCATTATAGTTAAAAATTAAAATATTAAGTACAAATTTTATTTTAATTAACATAATGATTACGTGGATATAGTTGGCACCTATAAAATTGGTTGTTTTGTAAAAGCTCTATTTTCATATCCCTAATCCCTATAGTAAATAATATTTATAAAATAGGATGATAGAGCGAACATTATTATTATATCTAGATGGTTTGATATTTTTTTTCAGGATTCAGAAGTCAACTAGAATATTTCATTTATTCAGAAACAAACAATATTATAACAATTGATTCATAATTAATGCTTTGATCGACTTTGAAGATCTCAATAATTTATAATATTATGTTTGGTTTGTACCTGTATGTTGTATTATACTAAGTACCTACTACCTATACCTACTTATCAGTATTATAATGTTAAATGTAAAACGGCCAATGGTTACATTATAAAGGTATATTATAATAAAATGCGCCAGTGCATGATAGAAAGCTTTGAAGGTTAAGAGGTAGAAATTATTAGAAAAAGTTGAAGAGTAATATTTTTAATCATATAATATGATGTTTTAATATTATTCAATTACTTATAGCTACCATTATAAAACAGAATCGTTTGTTATGCCTGTATAGTGTATACCTACTAATTTAAAATGTCTTTGTAATCAATTAAATTAATATTTGTCTAATTTTGTTTTGATATATATTTATTAACATTCGTTAGTTAGTGCCAGATTTACTTTAATTACATAAATTAACTATTCAATTTTTTATTTTTAAATAATTATGTTAAGAACAAAATTAATTTGTGATTATTTAATTATTATTTACTTATTAATGTAATAATAATAATAAAAAAAAAATATGTTACCATATAAAATTTTGTATTCGTCAACATTAACCAATTACATTATTCTATGCTATTTTTTTAAATATATAATATCATTTATTTTATATACCTACCAAAATAATTATAATCAAATTTATACTAAATAAGTGGCACACACAATTAATAAATATAAATGTAAAATATCTCAGAAATTTTCCCAAAAGGTATCTACATACTACTTTTTTTTATGTATAACCGTGCTTTATTTTTCACTATTAATGATTTTGCTTGTATTCAAAAAAAAATTATCTCTTAAAAAATAAATTCTTTATACAAACTGGATGTTTTATAATAAATGCGTGATAAACTAAGATTCTTGTTTATCAGTTATTTGTAATATGTTAAGATTTTAGACTTATATAGTTGTGTAATAAATACAACATAATATATAACTAACTATAATTTAAAACTTATGTAGATTATAGACATAGACTACTCGTATATTAATAGAGATTCGAATATTTTATGTTATTAAATACAAATCTTAAATAATGAAATACTATGAATTGTGATCTAACCAAACAATTATTGTCCGGCGATCGCCAACCGGCATATGCATATCTGCACATACGTCATATCTGCAGTAACTGAAATAACAAAATTACATTATTTTTACAAAAACTACTTATAATATGTATACTTATAATAAGATAAATATATACCTACTTCAATCTAAAATTACGTCAATCTACATTTATCATATATACAGCCAAAGTCGAACCGCTTTAACTACAAATTGAGCACCCAAGTATAGCTTGGGTATTGTTATGAATGTCATAATTTATAAGCACTCGGCTCGTTTTAGTGAAAACTATTATACCTAGTAGTGTTGTGTATAATTAAAATGTTTATAGATTTGAAAGCGAAGTTAAATCGCTTCGTTTCAAAATATACCCGACAATGAGTGGATCAGTTAACCGGAAAACATAAACATGAAATACGAACCTTGGTTTCCGAAAGGAAGTTTTTTTAAGTTACATACCTATCGGTATATATACCGGTTTCAAATTTCCAATCTATGCAAGTCAATCTAATATACCTATTATAGTATTACCTGTACAAAATATGCTACAGCTATAAACACAATTTTGAAGCGCTTTAATTTGGAAAAATCATATTAATGATGAAATGAAGACTAAACGTAAAACACACATAATCTTCAAAAACATTTTGCCTTAAAAAAATAATATAGCTATAAATATGTATCTAGCAAGATAATTTTGTTTAAATTAATTAAGGAAATATTTTTTAAGTCCTAAAAAGTAGAAAATTGTATAACCAGCAGTATTGGTATTTAATTGTAGTTCAATAATTTTACTAAAGGTTCCTACATAATTATATCCATATTTTGTAAAAGAACGCTATAACCCGGGCTGTGAATTTATAGGAAAGTGCATTTTTTTTTTTTTTTTTTTGGTGATTGTAAAACATAGCTTTGTAAGTACATAATTTTAATTATGTAATTACGAATTCATCTATGAAACACTTTTATTTTGCATTTTTGACATTTTTAATTTTTTAGGTCATTTTTTTGTATTTTTAGGTCATATTTTGCTTTTTTAGTTCATTTTCTAGTATTTTTAACCAAATTCTGTCAATTGACTTGTTTGAAAACTTTTTTTTATTTAACACAAGCTGTATATATTATGTCAAATTTATATTTTATTAAATAATATTTTACATAAGTCACAAGTTATATACGGGTTAGGTAAAGATAACGATTCGATAAAATAAGGCGATTGCTAGACAACTAGATAAGTTATTGTGGCATATCGTATATCAGTCACGAATTTCTAGATTAGGTTATTAGTAGGTATTTCAGTATTTATCGTTTAGTACCTGTTCGGCTGTTCTGACCTCAGATTTGATGACATGGCTTTTATGCAATATGCTCCTATTACGTCTGTAGATGTTGAAAGGAGTTTTTCGGCATTTAAAAATTTATTGACAGACAATCGACAGTCATTTTTATTTGAGAACATCAAACGAGCACTTGTTGTCCAATGCAACAGTAAATACTAAAGATGAATAAGGTACCTGGAAATAAATATCTTTAAGTTTGTTTTATTATTTTAACAAAATAAATACAAAAAAGTTTTTTTTTTAATGTTTCAGGTGAATAGCATTAATTTAATTCAGATTCAATCAACTTTTTTATTAAATAAACATTTTTTTGTACTAATATTTAATATCCTGTACCTAATATTAATATAAATATAAAAATTAAATTAAAAACCATTTTAAATGAATTTTATACTATAATTTTTGGCATTTTATATTCCTTTTTTTGCATTTTGAGTACATATTTTATTGCATTTTTTTGGCATTTTTAATGCATTTTTTAAGGTTTTTTAGTGCATTAAATTCACAGCCCTAGCTATAACATAGATATAGATATTTAGCAGATAATTAAAGTTCAACAATATTATATTGGTTATAATTTAAAATTGATAAATCTAAATACAATGAACATTAATTTAGTTATTACATGGATGATACGTACATATGCCCACATTTTAATATTAGAATATCAGATATCTAATCCTAGAATTTTTTTTTTAGTAACAGTAGGCCTATGCCACGTAAAAACAAAATAATACTTCTCCAGTAGCGGAGTTAGGTCTTTTTTCCAGCGCGAGTCAAAGGGAAGCCAACATATATTAGAGTAGGCACAGCCACACGATAGTGACACAAATGGTAGGAAGAGGAGCAACAGTAGCACCCATGGTCTGAACTCCTTCAACTTTGAACCCTCTAATCTAAGTACGGTACCTTTGTAATAAAATATTATTCAAACCTGGAATTTAAACTCTCAAGGTCTTTAATCCTGGATGCGTCATTAAAACTCAATGGACATTGGGAGTTTTGGAGCGCTGGTCAGATTGGTAATATAATATTAAAAATTAAACACATACTTATTTTAAAATTATATAATTCAAAAAAACCATAGCTGAGTAAAAGTATATAATATATAAATAGTTCCATAATGCATATTACACTATTATGTAACTGAATCATCAAAATTCAGCAATTATTTTAAAATGATTCTACGATTAATAGGTACGGGATATTGTAAAAGTATCAATAATTTCGTCTATATTTAGAAATTAAGCTTCACTTTTTCTATTGATATAACACTCTAACTTGGTAAATAATTATTGTATAGTAAAGAATTTCTTATATAATTATGTTTTCGTTTCGTACACGAAAAAGTACGTTTACAAACAAATGGAGATATAGGTATAATTATTGCGATGAAACATTTTTTAAATATTTCATTAAAGACTATTTGCTTCTCACATTAAAAAAATAAAAAGTATAAAAAAAAATCTCTTAATTTTAATTTTAACTTTTCAACATATTTATTGGTTTTTGGTTATTTTTAACTCTGTTTTTAAAGAATATAAACCATTTGTTGAAATAATGATTTGCTAAAGGCACAATTAAATAATAATCTAAAAAATAGATAGGTATCTTTTTGATTAAAGGCACTTTTCCATATATAATATTAAAAGTATCAGTAAATCGCTTATCTACTTCACTTATATTATACAAAATACTGTAATATAAATCAGCTTGAAATTATTTTTCTAATACAATTGATTTTTTTCTAAAATACTATTTTCATAATATAAATATACATATTAAAAATAAATAAATAAATATAAATATTTTTATAAATATTTCCAATTATTTAGGTATTTTTTTTTAGTATTTTTAATTCCTGTAGCTTCATCGTATATTTTTTTTACGAGAGTCCTAATTTCTCATATCCGAAAAATACCTTTTTATATACTCAGTTAATGATATTCCATTTATTATATCAGCACTAATATCTTGAAAGTATTTACTAATGATATTTATTTGCAATAATAAATCATAATGAATAAATACATTTATCTTGGTTTATACAGTCCTTTAGCATTGACGTCATTTAATAGCAATAAAATAATGTCAAAAGTATTTTTAATAGCTTTGCAATAGTGAATTTGTGAAAACCATTTTGAAAGACAAAGGCGTTTTGATTCCATAAGTTTATTAGTTTTTAGTACCTTTTTTTTTTTTTTTGTAAATCTATAAATGTATTATGTAAAACTGAACTAGACATGAAAACATAATTCCTGTAAAAAATTACTGAAGATTTCAACTTCTTCAATATTTTTACTTTTTAGTTACATCAACTAAAATTCAATTTAGTCTATGATTAGCACAGTGTATATACATAGAGCCAAATATTTTTAAAACTATTTACGTAATCATAATTGAATATTGAAATTCAAACTTTTGTATTAAATTAAAATTTCAAAGTGAGCCAACGAGCAGGCCGTAAGTTTACGAGGCGGGCTACGGCCCTCCCGGGTCCGCCTTTGGCTCCGCCATTGTACTTCTCAGTCATAAATATACACGATATCTGATAATAAACTACTGCAATGCGACGGTCATAAAAATTGTACTTATACAATGCGTATCTTGTAGTAAACCAAAGCAATGAACATACTGTAGTATTATATATAAGTATATAAATTGTGGAGTATTGAGTATTGACATATTACACTACGATAGATAAGTTGCAGCCGTTGTAAGTATATATGTATTACGCGTATAGATATACTGTTACAACTTACAAATCAATTAGAAACTTAATTTAATCTATCTGCTCTATCTAGAATCTAGTTTATTTTATTTTTAAAATTGATTAAAACATTGGATATATTTCTAGTACTAGTGATAACTTTGCTCATATTGACCAAGAAACGTAGGCCGTAAACAAGAAAACAATTCAATAAAT